TTAATCTGTTTAGCCTAAAGACCTGACACCTCCCTCTTACTTTCATGAGCCTGAACAGGGTCAGACTTAATTAATGTTGCATTTGGGTGAGAAATCTTGCTGGGAAATCTCACATTTCTGTTTGTTCTGATATTCCTGTGATGCCTGTTCCACGGCTGGCTATAATGGCAGCTGCCTGTGCCAGCACAGGCTCCAGTGACACCTTTCCACTTGTCCCCTGTGGCTGCCCTGGGTGTCACCAGCTCAGCAACCTGTCAGAAAACTGACAGTGGAGAAACCAGGCATGTGCTTGARCCCAAGACCTCCCACACCATTTTAAAGTTAGTTCTGTTCCCAGCTTGTGCTCCAAAAACCTCAGTCTGCTTCTCCAGGTTCCTTCAAGACACTGAGATTTCTTATTGCAAAAYGTCACGAGGTTGATGAACACACTGACCAGCAAAGGCAGCTGGGTGACTTTAAGAACTAAAGCACAGCAGGAAGGGATTCCTTCCTCCCTGTTGCAGCAAGGACAAACTCTCCCTGCTCAGGGGGAACTACAGGAGGGTCGCCTCAGGTTGAGGGAGATCCTGCAGCTTCCTTGAAGTCCAACCAGGTTATGCCCTTTACACCCCACAGTGTACAAACATACTGGAAGCATCATGAGCTTTTCTTGGATGTGGTGTAGAGAATCTCCAGGGAGCTTCCAAAAGAACATCTGGGACTCCCTGCACTTGATTCCTTGACTTCCAAAGGTCAGAGCTGACATTTGATTTAATGCCATGCCTTTGTAGTGCCTCCATTACATTTATATTGCTGAAGCTCCGTTTGTGGGAYGATAGCGACGCGCATTAGCCAAGGTCTGTGAGTGACAGATAAGTGTTCTGCTTCTCAGATAATCTAGCACCCCCTTGGTTTTGCACAAATGAGAAGAGGGAAAGGAATAGCACTGCATATTTTGCCCTGGCCTCTTGTATAAAGCAGGCCTGCTCTCTGCCACACAAACATAGAGAACGAAATAGAAGGGAAAATCTAGCCAACATCCTCCATTCTTCCTCCTCTACTGAAGACTTTTCCCTTCTCCAAAAACCAGGACACAGTTCCTGACTGATGACTAAACAAAGGAAGACTTGATGCGAGGTGACTTAGGTAGTCAACTTGGAAGCTTTTGTATTGTAAGAATTTATGAAGAGTAGAAGGGAAATGAATGCATGGCTGCATTTAGATTCTGAATTCCCCATTGCTATGCTGACATTAAATTTTCAGGATGTTTTTGCGTATATAAAACACAACAGCTGTCCTATGGGAGGTATAATTACAATTAAAAAAACAGGAAAGAAAATAAGTTGTGAGCATACAATCARCTCTTGAGGGAGGGAGCCAGTATCTGAGGGAAATTACAGAATCAAAGCTGCCTGAAATCTTTTAAGGCACAGCTCAGTAAGCAGTTAGGGAGGAAAGACCAGAGCAGAAAATTCCAAAACTGAAATGCTAGAAAGAAAAACTAGTAGCAGAAGTGGGTATAAATATCCAGAAAGGGCAGAGAGGGATCTAGTATTCACCATCTACTTTGAAATAGGAGCAAGGGGCCAAAGACTGAAAGTCCAAGCTCCCCACAGCAGGTGCAGCCAGATTTAAAATGAGCAGGAGGAGATGGTTTCTTCACAGAATTTCTGGCAGACCTGTATAATTCATTTCCTGGGGATTTTCTGGATGCAGACATACACAGGTTCAAAGGAAGGCTGGAGAAATACTTGGAAAATGGAGATATTTGGGCTTATTAAACAGACAGACCACAGGAGGCTTAGGGAAAGCATCAGATATAATTGTGCAGTTTTACTTTTCCCTAAGGATTTGTGTGTTCAATAGTGTCAGACAGTGTGGCCATTCCTGCGTTTTTTGTTTGATTGACCTTTAGCAGGATAAGGATCTGGAATCTGTGTTCATTTCCATGGTAGAGAAAAGAGCAAAAGCCTGTTCAAATATCAGCCCTTCCCATCTTCCCAAGAGTTAATAACACAACACATACTATCTCCATTTGTGAAACTTTTAAAATTGATAGAATCAGATAAAAAACATTTTTCCCTTGCCTTTTTTTTTCTCTTTCAGTAAAATTGCTAACTCCTCTGAAAGGTCACCAGTTAGATGTGAATAATACAGCACATAACAGATAAAGTGCTTTTCCTAGGTGGTCRAACTGAAACAAAGGAGAGAAGGGCTGCAGGTAAGGCTGCAAGACAGGAGAGAGGCACAGTGGCTCTCAGTTGTCCACCACAAATTGGGATATGGGATACTCACTCTTAATGACCATCTGAAATCCCCAAATTAAGAGTCTGGCAGTGTTTGGATCTCATTTTTGTGTCCTTCACAATCCTAAACAGACTTACATGCAGATACAGACAAAACTACTCAACCCGCTTGGCAGCATCCCARATTCATCAGGAAGAACCAGATAGGACACATGAAATCCCCAGTAAAGGCCACTCTGCTTTCTGAGCAGCATTCAGGCACCTCTTTGAGATTGTCTTGTTCATGTCTCTGTTCCAGACCAGTGATCATCCCCTCTGTGCATGGTCCCTGTTCCCTGGCCAGCCCTACAGAGACATGACAGGCCAGCGGGGTGTGCATCCTGACCCTGGAAATCCAAAAAAAAGAAGGGGTGGCCTTTGGCCCGTAGATCCCTGAGCAGCAGAGACTCCARGGTGGCTCTGCAGAGACCAACCTCTGTCCATCCAACTTTGCTACTGTTTTGGGTGCCTTTGTCCCAAAGACCACGTGTAGCCCTTGGGGCACAGGACAGCTGTTCTGGGTCTGTTGGAATTTGTGTCTGGTGAGTAAATACATCTTCAGGGAAAGGGCTTTTATGAGGTCAGGATCCAGGCTCATCACTCTGACTGCCACCAGAGAGGACCTGTCCCTCCCCTTTGTCCTGTTTCTCTCACCTGAAATTGCAAACCCTTCTCAGCAGAGACCACAGCTTGGCTTTCTGTTTGCAGATTTCCTGACTCAACAGGGCCCTCCTCTTGATGTATTCTTTCAAAGCAAGAAGCAGTAACGGTGGCTTTGTTCTGGTGTTTAATGAGATGGTGTCTTCCAACCCTTATTGCAACCTCCAGCTGTGTAGATTGTAGGGCCAGGAGAGATGATTAGATTATCTGGCTTAACCACCCATAAAACACAGGATGCARAATTTCATTCTTCATCACGGCGCAAATAATAAATAGAATAGTCCAAGGCAAACTCTAATATCCAATTTTTAATATCAACTACAATATGCATGTAGAGGGAGACATTAAACAAACCCCTGTGTCTACCAATCTACAACCCCCCTGGCAGTACTTACATATTTCTTATTGCTCACTAGCTTATTTACTGCGAAGGAACAAAGTTAATGCTGAGCTCTGAAGCATTTCTAATGTGAACCAATTTTGCCCTGYGGTTTCATAATGAGCTCCACCCTTCATCCACCTCTGCTCCCCCTTCTTTCTACTTTCCCTTATTTAATTTAAAAATAAAGTGAAAATATGCCCTTTCTACGAAGCAAAATTCAGATTAATTTCCTCTAAGTGCTGTTTTGTGCCCAGGGTAGTAGCTTGAAGCCAGCCCTGTGAATCACAGGTTTGATTACTCTGAYAGGGCAGGAAAGTGTCTTGCTTAAAAGGAAAAAATGAAAAAATATGTTAGCAGGATTGGGTTTTTTTTTCAGGAGGAAAGAGAAAGACCGAGCTTTATGGGGAACTCTATTAAAGTCATCAACTTTCCTTAGCTTAAGGTCAAAAATTGTGCAATACCACTGGAATAATATAATTTTAGAAAATTTCTGTGCAGACTTTTTTTCTTCTTTTTTTCCTTCTCCTTTTTCTCTTGTCATGTTTATGCCTGGGGCCTTTTTATTTGATCATTGTTCTATTAATGCCTTGAATCAATGAAYGAGCAACTATCCACAAAGTAAAACAACAAGTAAAAAGGTGGGGAGCAGGAGAAAATAGATGATGTGGATGTACCACATGCCATGGGGAACCACACTGACTCACCTGCGAGCCCTGGAGACACCTTGGCAAGGGAGATGTTGCAAAATTACTGGGAATAAACTAAACCATTTGGAGTTGAGTCAGAAAATCAAATTTCTCCTTCTCCCAACATGTTTTATAACTTCAGTGCGTCATTTGCTGCCTGCAGATAATRTTTGCAAACTGCTCTACCCTAAGGTTGGGATTTGATGACAAATGTCACGTTTTGCCAATGAGGACTGAAGAAACCTGTGTGTGATCAGGGCCTGTGAGCAGCCCACCATGGGTGCTGTGAAGTRTCTGAGCTCGTTAGCTGTAGGACTAATGAGCCAGAGAGAATAAATTCATATGCAAAAGAATTAACTTAGTCATTACACTTACTAMAGTGAGTTTAAAAATTTGTCCCTGGTCTGTCATTCACAGCAGCCCCCTAATTCTTAACTTCACATTGGTTTTCAGCAATGTCTCCTTCTGTAGCTCAGGGACACTCATTTCACATCCATTTCTCAGCTTTTCAGTCTGTAAAATGGGAGGCAATGCTTATCTTGTTACAGCTAAAATTTATAATGAGCACCTTAACAGCCCTATGGAGAGACTATGTATGTTTTATTTTCAATAAATAGTAACGCAAAATTAATTAGGGCTTCTCTGCAATAGTCTTCCATTTTAAACAATTTCACATGAAATTGTCCAGTAGACCTGGACACTTYATATTTTACATGTGTGGATTTATATTTGCTTAAAAAATGAAGTTTTTTAGAAAATGGTAAATTTTAGGGGATTAAGCAGGATTAGGCTTCTGTTTTGCTAGGAGTTACACAAGAAAATGACAACAACCTCCTTTTGCTTGAGTTTACAATTTTGAACTTTGATCCCAGCAATATTAGAATTGTAGAGATAAGCATTAGTTTAAATACTTYCAATGCCATCATATTTAGGGAAACAACCATGGACTTTGCTTCCCAGTAATTATGTAATCACAAGCTAATTTTTGCTGCTACAAAAAACAGTTKCAGAGTTTCCTTCAGGGGATGGGGGTAGAAAGACTTCAAAACCTTGCCCAGAACGTGAAATGTGGAGTGAAAAACAAACTTTCAGCTGACTTGTTCTGATGGAGCTGATGAGWGGTAACTTTCTGTCTCACACTTCTGTGTTTGGATGGTCAAGTCTCTACTTGCATGATCTTGGGGCCACTTCCCAAGTGCTAAGCCCCTCAATCTATTTCAGGCTCCTTCACCTCTTGCTTCCTTATGGAGACAGCTTAAAAGTCACAGAAAAATGCTATCTTTGCTGTGAGGCGGAGCAGGAGGAGAATTTCTCCAAACAGAGGGCTGGATTTGCTGCAAGTGAATTTAGTACTTTGAGTAGTTCACTGGTAGGTGGCAAAGAAAGGAGGAAAAGAAAGGGGAAAAAATTGGCTCATATATTWTTTAAGCTCTTTGGCTGTAAAACAAACTCTTGCATAGCCTGAATGAAGAAAAAAAAAAAAAAGCATAACCTTTTAATACAGATAAAAACCCATTTTCCTTCAAATCATGTGTGTACCATGTAATACTTTCTTCTACAGCTTCAGGATTAGAATCAATTATGATGTGACCAAGGCAGGACAATCAAGTAATTTAGAATTGTATTCTCAGGGGT